TACAAGTAAAATGAAATCCTTGACAACTTCAGTGTATTCTCCTTTTATCATGATGTTGCTTATTGGTCCATTTGTGAGGATTTTGGTTTTCTTTGTGTTGAGGTGTAATCCATACTGAAGGCCATGGCCTTTGAGCTTCATCAGCAAATGCTTCAAGTCCTCTTCACTTTCAGCAAACAAAGTTGTTTCACCTGCATAACGCGGGTTGTTAATGAATTGTCCTCCAATCCTGATGCCCTGTTCTTCTTCATATAGTCCAGCTTCTCTGATTATTTGCTCAGCATACAGATTGAATAAGTGTGGTGAAAGGATACAATCCTGACGCACATCTTTCCTGACTTTAAACCATGCAGTATCCCCTTGTTCTGTTCCAGTGACTGCCTCTTGGTCTGTGTACAGGTTCCACATGAGCACAATTAAGTACAAACTCCTACAAACAGAAAATAACACCAAAATCACATACATCAGTTTGGTTTTTTGATGCATTCTGTGTACCACCCAGTCTAGCTAGAGAAAGTCTGAGAGATATTCTAGTCTAAATCTTTTTAGTTGAGGAAAATGGGACCCAAAAATGTGAAGTGACTTGCCCAAGAACATACAAATATTTAGAAGAGCCAAGAGGGCCTCCTTGATGAAGGTTCTCCCACTACCCCCTGTGAAGCTCTGCATACCTGGGCTTTCTTACATTGTCAGTACTTCCCAGGTGCTGGGGGACAGCAGGCCTGGCTCCAGTTAGAATCACTGTCAAGAGTCAGTCCTGTACACAAGTTACTTGCGAGCCTAACAAGCGCGGTAAGAGTCAGGAATGAGATAAATCACCTGGGATGAAACCCTGGCTCCAGATAACACACAAACCCTGTATCTGACCTGCAGAGCTGTGAAAACTACCCTTTTGACAGATGAGATGTTTGAGGCTTAGTCTACATGTAATTATAAGATTTGGGAAATCCAGGCAAAAAATAATTTCTGGAGAAAAGAAGAGGCTGATGGCCCATTTTTGCATATTGACCAGGTGGCTTGGCCAAAGTTGTAACCAGTGAACTCGAGGCAGGTCTGCAGAGAACAGTTATGTCCTGACTCTGATGTGTGGTCAGACTGCCTCCCAAACAAATCTTCCCTGTTGCTTATTTACAGTCATAGAGACCAAGGAGGCAGAACCAAATGTCTAAGACTCTACAACTAATCTAAATTTATTAGAATTCAGGGTGTGAGGTAAAAGTAAAAGTGCCCATTAGAAGCCTGGCCTGGGGTGTATGTATAGGGAAACATATATGTTATTGTGAATATGCCCTTAAAGTGTGTCAATCACACTGGAAATCTGATGTCTATGAGTTTGTATTTAATGGGCCAAGCTCTGAATATGATGACGCCCCCATGAGACCAAGGCAATAATTATTTCCTGGATTTTACTTTGGGGGATGGCATTTGCCTTGTTCTACAATAGCCAGGGTATGGTTTAGTGTTCCAGGACAGGCCTTGGCAGTGCCTGACATACAGTAAGTGATGTGTTCCTCTATGCACTCAGCAGCAAAGCAGTGGTAGAAGATAGTTTGGGAAGAATCCATCATTCTTCATTTGGAAAACAGCATTGTCTCTGTTGGAGCTAAGGTTAATGGGATGGATTTGCATGTGTTTCTACATTTTTTTCTTTTAATGTAGCTTTTGAATTGAAAATACACCAAAGGCCTGATGCATAGCCCAGGTAAATACAACCTGTGAGGCTCAAAGAGGCTCAAAGCATGTTTTATTTATGTGGCTAGCTAGTCACTTTGGCTGCTTATTTTTAGGGAGTCCAGAGAGAAGCATTTGAAGGTGGGAACTGATTATTCCAAGGCAGAGTTTCCATGTAATACTCACATTAAAAGGTTATTGAAAATGGCTTGGGGGAGAGGAAATTGCTGCAGACCCAGGTGTGGCCTGCCTTCAGGACAAAAGGACTGGTTTGAGTGTTCAGGGTCTCCTGAGGCCAGGAGTCTTTGATCTCCCCCCTCCCTCCTTTCATGGGCAGCGGCAGAGGTGCCAGCCAGAAGGTCCAGGGTTTCTGAGTGGAAATGGGCACCCAGCAGTCCAGTGTGCCATTCACCACGTGCCAGGGCAGATAAGCAGGTGTGTGCTGTGGACTAGCACCAGGTCACCTGTCCCTGCAGCATAGGGAGGGAGCACCCCACACCCAGGACTGCCCCATCTGTTCACCACCAGCTGGTGCCAGCAGCCATTTCAGCTCAGAATAACGTCTCTGGTGTTCTTCTGTGGCAGCTGGGCTGTAAGCTGCTTTCTCCTGCCTTGGACTCTTGTGTCTTTCCTTTCCTTGCTCAGCTGCCCATCTGTGAAAAAGAAAAGCAGAATGACTTCTTTTTTTTTGAGACTGCTACTGTAGCAGCTCCTAATAACTCTTAATAATGAAGTGCAAGAGACCATTAAGATTTGTTTTGCTTTGCTCTTAGTCACCAGCCTCCGTGATAGTCCTGGTTGGCCTATAATGTGTGACTGTGAATGCGCAAAGAAAGGGGGGAATTAACAAACTGCCTATACCTTCTTTGGAGTCACTGGGTGGTGCAAACAGTTAACGCACTTGGCTGCTAACCAAAAGGTTGGTGATTCGAGTTCACCCAGTGGTCCCTCCAAAGAAAGACGTGGCAAATAACTTTTTCATTCTTTTCTCTCACTGATAATGGGAAAGAGCTTCAGTGAGAACCTTTTTCAAAGTCTCCGAGTAAGAGGAACAGAGTAACCTGAGATGCAGTAAGAGGAAAGGAAGACTGTCACCTTGGGATGTGGTGTGGTGTGGCCTGGGCTCTGAAATCAAACAGACTGGTTTAAAAATCCTGCTTCTGCTGGCCAACATCCTATCCGAAAGGTTTAATATCCTCACAATGTCAGAGTTTCCCAAATTGTAAAAGAGGGATCATACTAGGTACTTCATAAGGCTGGTGAGAGGACTGAATGAGAATATACACCGTAACACGGGCAGCACGGTGCCTGGCATGGAGGAAGCAGTGTTTGCCTTAGTTTCTTTAATTATAAAACAGTAATTAAAACCTGCTTTCCTTCACGGACAGAGGTCAGAATCTATGAAATGGGCCCTCAGGGGTGATCACGCCCTTTCAGAAAGAATGTGATCCTGCAGAGGCCGTAGCTTCTGAGCAGCCTAAATAACCTCCTTACCCATTTGAAAGCTTCAAGAATCCACAGGCTGATGTGAACTTATATGCTTTATGTATTGTCCCCGTTGGAGATTACAGAGGAAGGATGGTAGCAGCAGGATAGCAACAGAGGGGAGAAACTAGTCCGGATGTCTGTCATACAAACTGATGGTTCAGAGCATGCCAGGGACTTCAGAAGGACCGGGGCAGATGACACAACGCCATGTAGTACTATAACTCCTGTCGTACCTGACTTTGCAGATCTGAGTTCAATTTGACAGTTATCAGCACCTGCTATAAATCTACCATGCAAGGTATTTTTCAAAGCTAGCTGAAAGGACTTTGATATCAGCAACCAGGCAATAATATAGACAAGAAATTGAGTATCTTGCCAGTTTTGTTTACATCCTTAGTAAAGGGAGCTATTTCAGCTTCAACTGGGACATTTCAACTGATGGATCCTGTTCTATTTACATGACCTTTCCAAAACAATAAAAAGAGAGTCTCTAATTTTGTGCCAGGAGGCATGGCAAGCATTTTACATATAATATTTCAACTTACCACAGCTCTCTGAAGTGGGTGTCACTATAGTCTTCCACAGATTAGGAAACTGAGGCTCAGAGAAGTTAAATAATCTGTCCAGGATCACACAGTCAATGGTAGAGGCAGAATTTAATACCCTGTGGTTGAAATGTAGGCTAAACCCCTGGGTTCTACTCAACAAGAATTGTGAGGCACTCTTATCCACCCCCTGTAGTGGACCATACCTTTCCTATCCTCAGAAGATAGGAAAAGATCCCTTCAGGATTATTGGTGCACACAGAGCTTTGAGGATTATCCTTGGTACCCCTGGCACAGTGCAGAGTAAGATGGCACAGTGTACAAACATTTGCCTTGAAGGCAGGAGGCCTGAGCTCAAGTCCCAACTTGACTTCTTCCTGGTTGGCAATGTTGCACCCATTATTTATCATCTCTAAGCCCGGTTTCTTCACCTGTACAGTTCCTTCACCTCATAGAGTTGTTGTCAAAATCAAACAAAGCCAAGTAGGTGGATCTGCTTTCCTATCCGTAAAGGTTTAGGCAAATCTCAGCTATTGTTACAGTTCAATTATTTTCAATTCCACTACTGTCTTGATCTTCAATCTTTGTAAATATCTCCTGTCACCTTAACTTTCTCACCTTTATAACTAGAGCTGATGATACAGCATCTTTTAGTAATACTCTCCAGCAGCTGTCCTCAAACTTAAATTGCCTAAGAATCCTTTGGGGATTTGTTAAAACAGATTCCTGGGGCCCAGTGATTATGACTCAGCAAGGCTAGGTAGAGCCTTCTAATATTCACTTATAGGAAGGATTCACCCCAGGGCATTGGTGGCTCAGGAGTAGATTTCTCCCACTCCGTGCAGAAGAGTCTTTCCCAGGCAATGCACCTCATGCGCCTCTGTCAGTGGAGGCTTGCATGTTGCTATGATGTCTTTAGTTCCATTGTGCATGAGTCAGGGGCTAACAACAACAAGGACCCCATGTAATTGTGATGTAGATGATCTGTGATCCCTCTTTGGAAAAATGCTACCCTGAAATTCCATATTATAAAGAACTGTGTTATCTGTGGGTAAAGAACTTGGCCAAGATCACGCAATTGGTCAGTAACACAGCCAGAGCCTAACTCTTGACTCCCGATATCTAGATCCTGTTCTTTTGATCACAAGACTTGGACTCAAAGGAACATCCAAACTGACTCCGGTTCACTGGGTTTACCCTGGGTTTGATTCTAGAGTAGTCTGAAGCTTCCAGCATTGCACAGATGCCTTTAGAGGGTTAACTGAGTGTCATTGCCTCTTTCTTCTTCCTCTGCAGACACATTCGCAAGCAAAGTCGCCGCCACCCAGGACCAGTATGCAGATGCATCCATAGGTAACGTCACCGGCAGTAATGCGGTGAATGTCTTCCTGGGAATCGGCGTGGCCTGGTCCATTGCTGCCATCTACCACGCGGCCAATGGGGAACAGTTCAAAGTGTCCCCTGGCACACTAGCTTTCTCTGTCACTCTCTTCACCATTTTTGCTTTCATCAACGTGGGGGTGCTGCTGTATCGGCGGAGGCCAGAAATCGGAGGTGAGCTGGGTGGGCCCCGGACTGCCAAGCTCCTCACATCCTGCCTCTTTGTGCTCCTGTGGCTCTTGTACATTTTCTTCTCCTCCCTGGAGGCCTACTGCCACATAAAAGGCTTCTAAAGGAACAATCAGATATAGTAAATTTATATATATATATACATATATATACATAAAGACTTATGTATAACGAACAGAGGAAACTGACATTTGTCATGTTCACTTACCTGCTGATGGAATCCAGCTTCAAGAGCATACTCTGTACTAGGGCTGAAGTAAGAAACCATCACCTCCCGTTCGCAGGGGCATCGTCACGTTGAACAAGGCACGGAGGCAGAGTCATCTTTGCAGCTCTGCCTAGAAGGGTTGTACTCTCTCCAGGCTGATCAAACGTTCAGGCTTTGATTTGTTCTCTAGTTTTTGCTTTTGTTTTTGGTGGGGTTGGGGAGGTGGTTGGTGTTCGGCTTTTGCTTTGTTTTATTTTGTTTTGTTTTGTGGGGAGGGTCAAGGTTTCTGCTTCTCTTTGTGGGAGGTGACAACCAATCCAAATGCAAACGGGTTTTTGGCAAAAAAAATGAAATCATTAAGATTCCCTTCTCCTCCTCCCGACTTTTGAAACATTATCTGGGGTTAAGAAAGGATCTGGGCATGGAGGAAGAAAAAAGTGTGTCTTTACTATGTTACCAAATTTCATGCTTGTCTCTGGAATTTGAGCAGAGGTGAATCTGCCTCCAGGAAGCAGCACAGGAGCTCAGATGGAGAAGTGATGGTTCTAGAAACAGTCTGATATTTAAAAATGTGGTGCCTGGAACTCTTGTTCAACAGGTACAGGGATCACGTGCCTAGATTCCGAAGAACATGCAAAATCCTTTATTTTTTACCTTTTTTGCTCTGGACTGTGATTAGCAAGGCCCTTACTCCAGGGTTCCAGCCGGGAGACCCCTTCTCGATCTCCCTTCCCAATCCTCCTCCTCCTACCCACCAACCCCAATGCAAACCAGAAGGATAACCCCATTCAACGAGCACATCATCCTTTCCATTTGCATCAATATGTGTCCCAGTCCATGTTGCTGTGGCCTGGGATTGTCTGTCAGTTTTCTTTTCAAAAGCATCCCGTGGCCTGCACAATCCTGTTCCAGTCCTGACTTGAACAATTTGCTTCTTCTTCCTTCATGTGCCTGTTTGGGAATGTCGTTGTGATACCTGTTACACAGTGCATGGATGAAAAACAAAACAAAACAAAGCGTATCTGTATATAGTAGAGTATAGCATATACTGTTCTCCCATTCAGCAACGTTGATTGGACATTGAAGACATAAGTGAGTTTTCTTTTCACCTGAGTTATTATTTTGTGTTGTTATTGAGTTGCATTATTACTTGGGACAAAAGGAGAAAATGGCTTCTATATTCATGGATCTGCACATTCATTTCTAAGAAGCAATAACTGTCATGTGGGAAGTTAAAGTCATTGAGAGGACAGCAGGCAAACTACAGAGTATCTTCATGGAAAATTAGCCATATGGAACACATCAGAGGCCTCTAACAGTCACCCGCCATTCGGGAAGGTCAAGGAGAAAGGCGTTATAGAGAAGTGGATGAGTTAGACATGCCTGGGCTTTGAGAGCCCCAATTTCCACAACACCGCTTCCTCCAAAGTATTTATTTCACATCTGCTCTGTCTGGCACAGAAGGTAGATAGTGCTGGTTTGTTCATTTTATTATTTTTTTTTATGTAAAAGGCTATTTTGAGTCCTGCTTCTTTCACCGTGCAGACCCCTCTGATTGTATCTGCAGTTCCTCAGTAGGAAAGAAGTCAGGGTGACCCATGGGCCTTTAAGAGTATGTCTCCTCTACATATGACTAAAGAGCAGCAATTAGATGAGAAGATTCTTGCCCCCCAGGAGGATTGCACTGGGAGGTTTTTAACCCTTAAATAGAAGAGGAATGGCTCTTTCTATTTCAAAATACCAAAGCATAATAACCCAGAGTTTCAAAGTAGTGACTCCATCAATAAGGACAAATGGGATGGCTTTGGCCACCTGTCAGTGGCTTCTCTGCCTACAGGGAGCCCCAGGCCAGAGACTCCCCTGGCCCTTTGTTTTGATTCGAAGACACTAAAGAAATAAAAGCTGTTGAAACTTAACCTTCTCTTCTTCCTCCCGGTTATCATGATCATTCTTCAATGAATAAACATTCAATAATTGAATTAATAAATTAAATTAAATGCTCATTATCCACACAAATACCAGGTACTGTGCTACCTCTTGGGGGCCTAACCAGAAACCAGACAGCCCATATACCTGCCCTCAAAGGGTTTAGAGTTAATGTGACTGCCATTTCCATAAGTAGATGTTAACAAGACCGTATGGAAACAGCTTTATCTTGCAAGGAAAAACACCATTAGGAAACTCGTTTAACATAAACACATTGAAACTGTACAAATTCAATTGTCCATGTGCCTCAGATATTGGGATTCTTCAACTACAAGAGTCTAAAGCGTAGGTTTAGAAGAGGACCAAATTTATCCTTAGCCAATCTTGCCCCATTCTAAACCAAGGAGAGCAACTATGTTGGTAACCCAGATCAGTGACAAAGCTCACTTAGCCCCAGGTTTTATCTTTGTTGGGCAACAGTACTTTACTATGCCCCTACCCACCTTTGTAACTCCTCATGTCTGCCCAACACCCATGCCTGACCTGCCATGGTCTAACACTGGTGGCCTAACTCCTTTGGGGGCACTTTCTAGCCCATCCTTTTTTTTTTTTTTTTTTTTTTTTTGAGATTTACCGAATAGAAAGCTAGCCTAGAAACACCAAGTACATACAGTCAAGGGATAGAGGTTGTTTAAACATTAGAAGGATTTTGCACTCATGTTTAGCCATATTTGGAATGTCAATAACCCCATAGTGAATTTTCACAGAGGTCTTCAAGGAATTCTTGCTGTTGGTCAATTTCGATTTCAAAGCTTTTGGGCTTGTTTGCTTTTAAAATTGTCATGCTATAGGGAAAATCTGATGCTGGTTGTTCAGGGTTGTTATTAATTATTATAGTTGTGTAAAATTATTTCATTTTATTTGTTTGATTATTTCATTTTGTGTGTATTGTGCACAGCTTTAGGGGGAAAAGTGCACTAATTGTGCTGTTCCTTACAAATGGTACACGTTATTGACACAGACAAATAAAGTTTCTAATTGTTTCTGATTTAACCACTAGTGATACAGCATATTCTGTATGGAATGTTCTCTCGCTTCTCATTGCCATCTACTTCATTTTTGGTTTTCATGTTTTGAAGAAATAAAGACCACAGAGGTATTATTGTGCAATTGGTATCCTCATCCAAAACAAAAACAATAGACACCCAGAACTCAAACTCTTACAAGTGGCAACCCTTTGGTCATGCAATGCTTCATTTTTCATGTCCCAAGAGAGCACAGAATAAGTGTCAGAATATGTGTCTATCCTGTCTCGCACGGAGACACTCCTCCATCCCACTAACTGTTTTTTTACATCTTTCGGTACAGCTCTACCTACATCCTTTCTGCATCCAACAACATGAACCCATAAACAGTTACATGTCCGACTGCTTTTTATGATGCTCAGTATAATATCAAATCAATCAATCCCAATAAAACTGATCATCGGGAGTGTGTAGCTAGTTGCTTCCCAAGGGAAAGTTAAGTAAATTACTCTTTTAGTATCATGCACTGTATTTCTCTGGATTCCCAGCAGAACTCCTGCCTCTAATTAATAATTTCTGACTGTTTTATTATATGTTCTTGACATCATATATCCCGCAATTGAAACAGTATAGGAAGAGGTAACACCATAAATGGAATTAGCATTTATGGGAGTAGGGGAAGAAGTAACCTCTAAGGCTTGTGTACTTATTAACAAGTCTACATTCATATCAGTGGATTAGTTCTTACTATAATAGATAGGATCTGTCCACTGTGTACATGTAAATGATACTTTATTCATCTGATCGCCTTTAAATTTTTTTCTAGAATTCATTATTCTATCCTTATATGGCAGATCCATGTGACACACTTTTATATGTGAAGGCATTAACGTATAATTTAAAGATTTTCTTGGATCAATTGAGTCTTGGATACCAATCTTTAACACTAAGTGAACAGTCAACATTTATTTCTTTGAACAACAAAATGAATAATTCAGTGATCTTGACCCATTTAACAACTCTTCTTCAGCAAAATGCCGTTGCCCGATGATTCTTAGCTTCTTGTAATCGAATTTTAACTTTTTTGAAGATTGTAATTCAAGTCGTCCACTGGTGAGGATTCTATAGAGCCCAAACACACTTTTTTTGTTGCTGCCCACCAAATATAGTATTAAATTATAAAAGGTGTTGTTTCAAACAACCCTGCAGAGATGCCTCTCAGTGGTCCTCATCCGCGATGAGAATCCCTAACACAACCCGTTTCCCCAGGGGTCTCACTGTAAATAAGACAGAAAGCTCACTGTGCCACTACCTGTTCCACATGGGGCATGATTCATTGGTGATTCCACAGCCCAGGGCTCCTGATTCTAACCTGTCCAAAAAAATAACAATAATCCAGTATTTGAGACTGACTAGTTTGCATATATCTGGGAACTTTATGGAAGCAAATAGAAAGATAATTTCCTCTGGTAGATGATAAGGCCCTCTATTCTCTAATAGTGACAATATTTCTCCTTCTCAGAGAATGTAATTTGGCTGTGCAGATACATAATCTGTTTAGCAGCCCCTTTAAGACTTCTTTCAGTATGTCCTGGCTCAAGATATGGAGTCTCTTCTTTGGTCCTGATCTCCTGTCTCTGATCTTGGGCAGTTACATCCAGAACAAGTCTTGAGTGTAGTTTTATAACTCCAGGAAGATTGTCCATTTCATGGCTGGCTGTGAACAATGTTAGAGCTCATCCTGACCTATTACTGTCATTTGGCTTTTGTTGTAGAATTCACTCCACCTTGCCAAGGTGGTAAAACTGAGCAAATATAGATGGAAAATCCTATGGATAAACAAGTGTGTGCATTATGTAGAAGAAGCCTACAAAATCATATTTATCTTACAGAGAAAGAAACATGCGATTATGAGTGGATTCATAGCTTTCTTTCAGATATGATTACAGAATTTTGTTAATGGATTACATTTCTGCTCTTCTTCTGTTATGTTTTTATCATGCCTTCATTGTCTTCACATCACACAGCACATTTCAAGTGTTTGGAGGTCCTGGTGGTATTCCATCTACAAGGATAATATGGGAAGGGTAAACATTTGTAATAGTTAGATGTTTCATGTTGGGAGCTTAATCAGGCCATTGTTGATCATCTCTAACAGCAGAGAGTGTTGTATCTGTAGAAGCAGCAACCACTGAGAG